CACCCGAGTAGGAGGCTACCGTAGCTGAAGCGCAGTACGGGAACTCGTACTGCACCATCGGTGCATGCGGCGGCCGGGTTGTTGTGGAATTGGGATCGGATCTGGATCTGATAAAGTGCTTTTTGGCATTCGGCGATCAAGCTAGTGCCGAGACGGGCTCGTGATGTTGGACCGGGAGTGAATGATAGATTGGAACTGGGGAGCTTGATGTTCTTGACTAGGGGGCTCTCTGCTGAGCACTGGGCTAGAGGGGTGGATTCGGGCTGTAGTTATGGTGTTTAGGGTGTCGGTAGTTCACCGCCCTCCCTTGATGGTTATCGAGTGACGGACTTTGAGGTGGTATAGATCTGCCACGATCCGGACGCGGGAATCAAAGCATATCGAGACTCGGGAACTGGTGCAGTTCTCTCCGCAGCGTAAAAGCCTAAAGTTAGGGTCAAGTTGAGTTCTCGCGAGGGGAGGATATCGCCTCCCCATGCCGTAGTTGTAGGTTATAATGACTGTCCTCAGTGCCACCATAGGTGGTTTGCACGACCCAAGCGCCAACCCTGAGGTCCGACCGGGGAAGGGGGTCTTGACGATTGAACCAGCGTATCCCCAGGCGAACACGGATCGCATTATAGATGGGATCCGAAAACTTTACAGGCTTTCAAGTATCATGGTCTCCACAGCCAGGAAGCCATCATACTTGTACTGTCTGCTCTTCCTGGTACCCACATGCCCTACATGTACCGTACGAGCATCGATAGAGCCCTCGAGCACTAACACACCCTTGTAATATCCTTGTCATAAGATTATGTGACCATTAAAAGTGCCCTCCAGCTTCCGTGCATGGGAGTCGAGGGCACTGCAGCTGCTGGCATCTGAAGAAGATAACAAGAGTCGGTGATTCGCTCGCTAGAGGATCCCATAGTATGTGGGGGGGGAAATGCACCTGGCAAATCTGCACAACGAATGATCCACTGTTCGAGGAGCTGTATGGTATTATGCGTGTATCTCACGGGGAAAAAACGATATCCGTAGCAACGCAGAAAAAGAGGAAGAGAGGAGGAAGGGTCGCATTCTAAAGCAAAAAAAGATGAATCATAAGGGGACGAAAGGAAGGGAAAAAAAAAAAAAAAAAAACTAATATTACCGATATCATGCTATGAATTTTTACCTCGTCTATAGATCCAGGTGACATCGTGATAACTAACTTAGGCGTAAAGGTAGACAAAGGAAATTTTGAAAATTTGGTTGCCTGACTTTTCGTTCCGTGCCAGAACTTCTCGGCTTTTTGCCCACCTCATCACCTAATCCTGTGGCGCATACGGCCGCAACAGCCTCACTGTGGCTGCCCTTCCACTGAACACCTTCTCCCCTGCGCCTGCACCCTCCATCCCCCCCCTTCAAACATTCCACACCCAAACTCTCCGCACCCCACCCCTTCATCTCCTCACCAATTCCTATCCCTCCACCAAGATGGCGGCGTCATCGAGCAGCGGCATAGTGGAGCGCCAATACAACTACGGGGGTCTGATCGTCCGAACCTTTGTCCACTCCGCCAAATCCTCTCCTCCCCCCGCTCTAGGAGCCGAAGATTCACAATCCTCCCCCTTAGACAGCTCCGTTCCAAATAACCAAGTTGCGTCTCCAGTTAAACGCGGTCGCGGTCGCCCGCGCAAGAACCCCAAACCGAATAGTGCGGCCGGCGACGACGACGCTGGTTCTGATCGATCCCCACAACCAGGTCCCTCCTCGCATCAAAAACCGCCAAAGAAGAAGAGAAAACAGCTGTCCGGTGTCATGTCCGGTAACTCTAGGGTCCCTGCTTACGTTTCACTCCTGACCGAGGAGGAGATGACCGCTGTTCGCAAGAGGAATAGACGCGGGAAACAGTGGATTCCTGGGGAAAAGACGGTCATGAACGAGCTGGCGAGATTGGGCAGGAGCGTTCCCGATCCTACCGAAACTCAGGAGTTTCAGAATGGGGAAGACGGTGTTGGGGATGATGAAGAGCCTGAGCCTGAATTTAGCCTCGCTGAGGGAATTGAGACGGCCGACGACGACGTCATTGACTGCGACCCATTTACGGGACTAGAGGACATGCGCCTCGATTCTGCTGATAATGTCGGGATGGCTGGAGGTGTAGGCTCGGGCTCTACGAGTGATTGGATGAGGGTCAATAGCCAACAAACCCAGTTTCAGCAGCAGGCGGAAAGCAATGGTCAGAGTTCGTTCGATTACTACATGTGTCCTCCCAACGGCGCAAGTACCCTTGAACCCCCATCTGCAGCTCTGGACAAAGACTCCTCGTTTGCCGAGCAGTTGAATTCGACCGTGCCTGAACTTTCAGAGACAATTCTCCAGCCACCAGACTCTGCGACTACTCTGTCTCACCCTACTCCTCCTCCGTCTTCGTTATCTCCTCAGAATCAACCCCCTAAGCGTCCTTCCGCACCACCTCCACCTGCGATTCATCTAGACACTACGGCTGCACTTGGAGCTAAACTGATTGAACTGATTGCAGCCTCGCAAACCGCATTTATCCCCACCCCAGTCCATTGCTCCTTTACTCTACCTCTACCAGAGGGCGAATTCATCCAGAAGCAATACGCTACAGACCTCGTTTCTGCAATCTCTGATGTCGACCGCTACGTATATGTCACCAAGAACTCCACCTGGAATTCGACAAACACCGGGAGTAGAGGCGCAATATTCGTGTGTAACATGAGTTTGGAGAGTCTGAAGAAGAGGAAAAGCGGCACCGGCGAGGATCAGAAGAAGGGTACGTTTTCATATCCCCAGTTCACATTATTCATCTATTTGCAGCCGAATTAGTTGGCTGACTTGTTTCCCCACAGTCTCCATGGCTAGGACTAGATACCCCTGTGAGGGGTGTATCACTATTCGATTCCTCGCAAAGAAGAACGTCATCAGCGTCCTCTACAAGCATCACGCCATTCACCGTTCTCCACACGATAAGATTGAGGATTCCGAGCCCACGCCCGAAAATAATACTACCACTACCATCACCAATAGTACTAATGACGCACCACCTCCACTCGAAAGGCCTCCGGCGGAGGAGATCATTGTCCCAGCTTTAGCCCAAATCCCCGGTGTTGCGGGGCCGGGATAAGTGTAGACATGTCTAGCTACCTGGTTAGTTACCTTGCTTTAATCCTAAACCTTTCATGGCTAAACTCATTACGAAATTAAAGCCTCTCCTGTTTTTCTTCTTTTTCGTTTCCTCTTCTGATATTATTAACCTCTTACTCTACTCACATTTTTTGTATTGTTACTGGGTGGCCTGCTTTGTTTCATTTCACTCTCCATTTCTTCATTGACTTTACTTTTCCCCCTTCGATCCACCCGACTAGTCAAAAGCCAACCGAGCGAAATCTATGGATAGTTTGTCCGGGGTCAAGTGGTCTACTTGTTTTCTACTTTTGTTCTTATCAATCCCTTTCTCCCATAACTCCGTATTTTCTCTTCTCTCGAACTTGACACGATAATAGCTTCTTGGCGCTTTATCTTCTCTTCACATTTTCTCCCCTTTCTTCCCGGTTGGTTAGCTGGATGGATGGTCGGTCGGGTGGACGAGACGGATGGGTAAGTTGGTCTGTGGTTAGCATCGAGGAGTTTACTTTAATTGCTTGTGGCTCCTACTCTACTTTCGCTTCTACTTCCTACTGTACTGGTGCGTGGTCGGTGGTACTCTGGTTGCTTGTTTGCCTCTTATCTCTTGTTTCTTTTGTTTGTCTTTTTGTGGCTATTTGTGGTTCGTTGTCTAGATAGCATAGGTTGTATATGGACAGTAATATCATGATTCATGAGGACTATTTGGCTTGGCCTGAGGTGGCTTGATAGATCGATTGGGTTTTGTATATTTGCTTTGGTTTGGGGGGTACACAATTAAAAATTTACCGGAATCCACTGAAATGCATGTTCATGTGCACGTGCATGATTTATCACTCGTCGAAGCGAACTTTTGGGCCGCGACCAAATAGTGTATTCTTGCGGGACCGTTTACATACTCATGCCCGCACGGGCCGAGCCGTGTTGAGTGTTATTTCTGCTTTTGGATTCAAGGTCGGGCACGCTGGAATGTGATTGGTCCTGACGCAATCCGCCCTCCGCCCTGTGTTCTAGTACTAGTTAGTGGGCATAACTGGTCCGTGTGGTGCGGTGCCGCCGAACGGGTATGTGCCGGGGAAGGACAGAGAATGCCTGCAAGAGATTATTGCACCCCTTTGGGCTATTCGTCTCAGGCCGTCTTTCTCCAACTTAATGGATATCCGTGTTGGGGTTCATTGATTGTGAGGTCACTGCACTGAAGATGTATGAAAGAAGGGAGGAAAACACAGATCTAGAAGTTATATGTTTCTTTTCTTCTCCGTCTCGTAGCTATTAAACCAGAGGGCCTTCCATAAAAACACAGAAATGAGGAACAAATAGACGGGGTTCCAAACACCGCAAAGGCCGCAATTTCAGACCCATCCTTCTAATGGTAAACACGAATACTTTTTTTGCGAAAGTCATACAGGGCCCTATTCTCACAACTCCTTTGAGCTACCATCTTGGTGCCTGAAAGCGTTCTCTTCCTTGTTAGGCCGGGGGGGGGGGGGTGAGCATTCATCTGAAAACTTACTGACAACATGGTGCGCGACGAGGAGGGAGCCCTTGGTGGGGCCGGGGAGATTCGTAACGTTCCTTACGGCATGAGTTTGGGTCCGCCAGCTAAAGAGTTTGAGTAAGTGGCTGAGGAGGAAGACGTCCATCCTACTTTCGAGAAGGGCGATAGTCCCGTCATTTGCCCTGCCCCTCTCCGCAAGGAGGAGGACGTTGACCTGAACCTGAAGTGAGCCAAGGGGTCCCTCTGTGGAGGAAGCGATGGTACGCCAGCTCAATAGGCCGGTGCAGGTCCGCGCCGGGGGGTGGTCGGTTGCTAGGACACCGTCATCGGCAAGCCTGCGGATGCCCCCGCCGAAACAGCCTTGTTAGATCCCGCGCAGGGCGTCCGGGTAAATTGGACAGTTGGCGAAGTTGAATTCCACAAAGTTGAAGTTGCCAACGGAGGGGTAGACATAGAGGTTCCTAGGCTATCGAACGCTGTGGGTAAGTTGTTAGATGGCACCACTGTTTGGAGGGTAAGTGTATAGCGTGGGCTGGGATACCCAGAATTTCCAAATTTGTTCAGCGATCTAATCCCCCCCCCCAGAATGATATGTTGCTTGCGGAAGCTAAGGAGAGCGGGGTTTGGGAGGAAGTCTTCGTCAGAGATACATAGCATCAGGTATCCCCGTCTCGATGAAAGGCTTGAGCTTTGTTGCTCTCCGGTTGGAGTGATGACCGCAATAAAGGGGAAATGGTTTCAGCGAATCGTGATATCGTCAGAGGTGGGAGTTGAAATTTGGCCCTTCTCTTAGAAACAGCACAAGAGGAGAGGAAGGGGGAAGAGAAGACAAAGGTGGGGCGGCTTTATATTGCTCTTGGACTATAAATTTCCCGAAGGTGGAATGGCACCCTCCGGGTCCAGGGGCGGCCCGGGATGTAGGGATGAAGGAGGGAAGGAAGAAAGAAAACAAGCAAGAGTTCCACTAAAAGAATTACCCCCGGGGTCTAGAATCTTACGGTTTAGCGCAGTGAATAAGCAAAGTATCGTTCATCCAAACTTTCACCTCAGCAGTGATTGGGCCCCCACTGCTATACTTGCCCTTGCCGCATTCCAAAGCATATTGAAGCCCCTGCATGCCTCAGACATGGGAAAAGCGGGGATTTCCGGATCCTTTTGGAATAGGAAAGTATAAGGGAGGGTAGGGGAGGTGATTCTCGGTGGGTGTATGGAGGAGTGCTGTACAAGAGGCACAGGGAAACCTTTTCTTACAAGTCTTTTGCCCAGTGGCTGTGCTGGTAACGGATATCGGGGAGAGAACAGGGTGGTACAGCACGGCGAGCACTTAAGCCGTGGATTACTATCATATGATGGAGACTGGTGGGGTTGGTTTCAAGTATCATATCATATGGGATCTGCAAAGCCGGGTCAACGAAACCCCGCCCGGCGTAAAACCTTAACCCCCACCAAATAAAACCGGGAAGGTGAGAGAGCGGGACTAAGGCAACCTAGCGCCCTGTCAAACGTAAGTCCTAAATTGCCCTAGAGACTTCGCATCGGCTGACAGCATCCCAGGGGGGCCGAAAGCCATTCCCCTCTTCCCCAGCTAAGCCCAGGCAGGAAATTTCCAAAGGTCGACATGCGCGAAGGTGGGAAGCAACCCTAGAGAAAACGGAAGGTGTGGATCGTGCTCAACCCCCACCGGTGTGACCGCAACTCCCACTCAAGCCGAAAGATACCCGGTCTGGTGAGATTAGAACCAATAAAATCTCCTATAAGCTTATTTCGCAACAATTAGAAGTGACGGAAATAATGGGGCGCAGATCCCGACTTTCAGCGATTCCCTGGGCTCAATTTTTTTTGGGAACCTGCGCTTTGTGCTTCTACCGACACCAACCACCGCTCCTTTCTTCATAAGGGGTGCAATAGTTAGTGTCTGGATGGATGGCCTGGAAGGCTACCTATGACTTCCGCGAAATGTGGTTGGGAATTCTGCCAGAGAGTTACCATGCCCTGGATACCGCGATAGTCTACTGATAGCCATCTATATACGGTATTATAGAGGTTGCTCTAAATTACTGATGCTCCTACTGATTTCATCAGAGCCCCGTCCCAAGGTCTGAGGCAAAGGAAATCCCGAACCACTACCAGGGACACATATAGCTCCTAGCAGGCTTGCGATGTGACAGATGGAAGATGGAAGATAATGTCTTGGCCACCGGACATCCGGTCTCTGTCCGCGTTATAACGGAAGACGGCATGTAAACTGATCGTATTCTGAATATTATTATTTTCTTCGCAATTTACACAGCAGCTCTCCTAACAACTCGGATGCGCTACCCAAAGGATATCCGCTTTCCCGGAAGGGAAAAAGGAGAAGCGATCGATGACTACATTCTACCTTCGGTTTCAACTCCCAAGGGAACTCCGAGGAGCCAACACCGACAATCCCTTAGCCCCTCTGCAGTCAATCGGCTGCAAAGAACCCTCCCGCCTCAATGATACTGTGAAACCTATGACCTCCCAACGGCCTCGTGTCTCAGAGAGCAGAGTTTTCTAGACGTGGTATGGCTCTGGCAAGCTGGGCTTGGTGGATCTCACTAACTCGTATTCGCTATATTATTAACCAACTCTTCTAAGCCCATTGTGGTTCAGGGTAGCGATCTCCCTCGCACAATCTGACCGCGTCCTTGACAAGTTTCCTGTGCCCAATCACACTTTGTACGCTACGCCAGCAGAAACAGAGATCCAGCTGCCGGGCTGAATGCCTCCAGTATACATCAGACCAATTAAAGAGCTAGTATCAAACGGAGACCTACAAGGCAGGATACATACTGCACTTAGGGCAAATATTCCCAGCTACCCAGCAGCTATCATCTGTACACCGCGGGAATGTTGCTGGCTGCGCAAGGTAGGAAAGTTCCTATAAAGTATAATATGCTCGAAAACTTCTGGCAGTGTGAAGTTGCCTTATCAGCGTCACGCCCTGAGCACTGCATGTCATTCTATAAGGTGGGGTCTTGAAAAAGGGGGGAAGAAAAGCTCCTGCCTGAGGGCATGAGAGATGGTACCGGACGCTTTTTCTGAGGCAGACACGAGCAGGTCTCGAACACGGGGTGATCCGACCGCCATGGGGACCAACCACAATCCGTTCCCCGCGCCATGGAAACCAGAGATACACTTCCCAATAAGACCAGAACTAACATAGCCCCCTCCGGGGGGCAGCTAATGCGATCACTTGCTTCAATCTTTCGTTCACTTCTCCGAGTGATTCATAGTGAAGCATTCATGTTTCGCCTGCTGCAAGAAACAAGGAAAGTGTGAGATGCGAGAATAGACAAAACCAATTAAAACCCGTGTTGGATTTTTTTCTTTCCTCTATCTGAACCATAATTACTCAACTACCCCGAGCTGAGTCTTTGAATCTTATAAAGTAAAGAACGAGAGGGAGTTTTTACCTAAATCCTATAGCGTATACCTTTTTACAGGGGCTCGCCTCTGCGGGAAAATCGAAGGAGTTGCTATGATATCACTAGGAATATGACGGACACCTCTTTCGCCCCGCAGTACCGTACCCAAAGTTCATTCACTTACCTTACCCCCTCCATCCAGGGATAGGTATAGTCTGACAGGATAACGGAGTTACGAATATGGTTCCGGAAGCCTACTCGAGTAGAGATGGGACCACTTTTCATTGTGGCGACCGTGACAATTTTTGGTGTGATGGCAACCGTACTGATTTTATTTATTATGATATCATGCTAAAAAAAAAGACCTGAAAACAAAGAAACATAATGATATAAAATATTTATTCCCAATTACATTATTAGTATAATAAGGCCGGAATTTGTTATTCCTAGTATAAGGAGCCGAGCATAATCAAAATCCTTACATGGGTGAGAGGTGTTCCCGACTATAGTCTCCTGGAACCATACCAATTTACGAGATCCAACACCATCAAGTAGGCTGATCCTATACCATACCACCAGAAAAACGCAAATCCCGGCCGGGAGATTTTGCCTCGGATTTTGCCTCGGAATTTCGTGATTATAAGGTTAGCGGGGATGGTGGATTACCGATAGTGCTTGTACTCGTATAAGGGTTTTTACTCCATCAGTGCCAGCGGGGAGTACAGTACGGGCAGGTGACATCAGCAATCTTGCGCGAGCTTCTGATTGCTCCGACAGGATGGAGACGATCCCGGTGAACTCGCCGGCTGGTTGTCCCTTACCCGGCGCCCAAGACATACCGGTATGACGGCCGGGTGAGACGCAAGTTAAGACATACAGGTAGGGTACTCCCATCGGCGATCCGGCAATGTGTGACAAGTACAGGTGGCCAGGTGTGATGCACATGAGCA